TTAAGTAATCTCATATTGAGACAGTAGCGCCAGTGGTATCCTACGTCCATATGGTCTCTGCCCTTTGGCCGATGCTTGGAGAAGAGCGTTGTAGCAGGGTACCTAAAAGATTATGCAGAATTTCAATTTACTTCAGACAGCAAACAAGATATCTTAAATGCATTTATTAAAGTATTTAAGAGAATTGGCGAATCGGGTACAATAAATGTGAGCCTGCATCGTGCAGAAACCACAAATTATTTACCTCATTAAACTCTTTATCAAAATCTTCAAAAAATTCAGAAACCACTTGTTTGAAAAGATCGATTCGGCACTATCATGGGTTTTTTTGGCCTTCTTATTTTCCCCATTTGAAAATATTAACCAAACTAATTATAATTTTATAGACATCTTGAGAGATCACTTGAAAATAATGACAGTGAGCTGTTAATAAAGTCAGGTAATTTCCAGACACCGAATCACTCGTTACGTTTCAAAAAAAGAAAGCGTGAAACGGAGGACGAGACGTCAGAAACGTCTTGTGAACAAAAGTCGTATAGGATACTATCATCCGAGTCGAACATCTCAACAACATTAGCAGATCATCCTCAGATCACCTGATTCTGAAGGTTCCATAAAAGCGAAGAGGTCATCTTATCTTGTTTATTTCATTGGACCTGGTGAAATTAATTGGGAACTAAAAGAAGATTCTACCGTGGTAAATAATAAAAATGTCGTGATATATTAGCATGAATTTAATTTTGTGTGGAATTCCGTACTATTGTAATACAGAAATGCAATTCAAAGGAGATCTTAAGTACCGATGAAGAGTTGTTGCTTTTGGATGGTTGAAGCACTCATGATTAACTTCTTTCATTTCATAGGGCCCCAAACCATATATTTCTTTTCCAAGAAGAGAATCCGCAAGGACTTTATGAATGTTTTGATGATGAGTAATGGCAGTGCCTTCTCAGAGATTCGCACACTGTATCCTTATATTAATAGCATCCTTATCGCGACTGTGCAGATGTACTTTTGGGTGAAATTTTCGAATTATGCCCACCGTATGTATGTCACGTGTCCGACACGTAGCGAATTTTGCGGTTGGTAAACAATGCAATATTAATAATTAAATCTCTATTTGCTATTTATTT